AGCAAACTGGGAGCCCCCAATTGGGAGCACAGGATGAGCCAAGACAGGTAAAGTAGGGGCTATGACCCAGTCCACTGAGATAGTAAATGCAAGACCAGACTAAGCTAGCAATGAGTATCTAAAAGTTATGATCAAAAGGTGAGATATGGTAAGCCCCTTTTTTGGGAGAAAGTAGTTCTCAACATCTAGCAGTGCCTGAGTTTTCACTCAGAGAAGTCAATGGACAAAGTAGTAGAAGGAAGACAAGCCCTGGTCCACGGGCTGCCAGGACTTATGGGAAGAGGAAGGAAAGAGCGTGGCCCAGTTGATGGTGACAGGAGGGAAGCTGGCCTTTAGTCCCAGAGAGGACTGACAAAGAGAACCAGAGCCGAAGAACGAACCCAAGTCACAGCCATATTAGAAGGCATGCCACAGTTGGAAGGCTGTAGGTAAAGGCTGGAGCCTGCTTGACTTCTAGGGGTGGTTAGAGAATGACTCCCCGCGGTGCTAGGCAGCTTCACCAACATACCTCATTCCCTTGTTACAATAATGCTCAGAGACAGCCGTGCCGCACACACTAGAGAAAAGAATCAGGCAGTTCAGCATTTCCCAAAGAAATGTTCCATGGACAAAGAGCTCTATGGCTAAATATATAGCTTGGGAAATGTTGTCTGCTATAACTCTTCCTTTTATTGCATTCTTGGAGAATCACAATGTACATTAAAAGCTCTGAGATGTCCTGTATTACAGAAACCATTTTCTTTTATTAACCCAGAATTTCCAATGAAACCACCTCCCTCCCACATCCCAACGAATATGCACATATACTTGTTCTTTCGGAAACATTTACATCTTTCTGACCTGGTGTTCTAACGAATAGAATCTGAAAATTCATGAGAAATGCATATGCATGGTAGTATAAAGCATTAAACAAGTGTAAAATCTTAGTATTATGGTCAATTTATGCCGGTGGAAATGAGGAAAGTGGTGGTATTAGAAGCCATTAATGAAAAAGCAGCTTTTGAGAGCTTGATTCCATATACATCTACCAAGACAATCATCTTGTGTGCCTGAAGATCTAAATTTCTGGCACGATATAGACCACAGATGGGTGATATATTTGGGTTTATAAAAAAAAAAAAAAAAAGAAAGAAAGAAAGGGAAAAAAGAAAAAAAAAAACAAAATCCAATCCCGGAAAAAAAAATTTTCTTTGGGGGGGGACAATAAATTCCTCCCACACTATGCTCAAATAGTGGCACAGTTCTGCCAGAACGGGCCTCCCATCACAATTGTGTACTCACAGCGTATTTTCACTAGAAAGTATCTTTCTCTGCCAGCCCCTTCCAAGCTGAGAATGTCTCCTTACAGGGACTTGCAGATCTGTCACTGTTTCTCCACCTCCAAATCAGTCACCTGCACTGGGGCTATGTCCCCTGCAGGAGACCCAGCTTCTGGGCAGCTGAGGTTACATATGTACTGGGGGCGGGGAAGAGGGAAGGGGATTTCAGAGGAAATTCTGGATTTCAAAATAAATAAAAAAGGTTGCTTTGATAAGGAGCTTCCTAGACCCTTTAATGTGCTAAAGTGCACTGTGGTTTTCTGAGAACCAGTCAAGGAGGACTGGATATACTATATAGCCTTTTCTAAGCTGTAAATTTTTCCATAAAACTCTTTGTTTGTGCAGCACTGGGGGGGAGGGTTATGCTGCACTGACTTATTTAACTTTTCTTAGTGTGCTTAGCCATCGCTAGCTTTAAGGGTTATTGGAAGGAATGAATGAGACAATAGGAATGACAATAGGAATGACATTGCCTAGCACAGCCATGCATAGCTGAGTTTCAACAAATAGTGTTTCTTAATAACTTGCAGGAATCGAGGCAGCGTTATCATGCCCATTTTGTGAGTGGGGAAACTGAAGTTCACAAGAGTTGAGTGATGTCTCTTCCTTCAAACAGCCACGCCTGTTTCTGCCTCCAAATCCACAAAGCTTTCCCCCGTGCCACTCCTTCTGGCCCCTGGGCAGCTTCTACCCCAGAACTACGTCTTTACCCATCATGATGCTCAGAAATGGACTTTGCATGAAGCTCGGAGCAAACCAAGTGGGAGCCTCCCGTCTGTGAATGCAATTCTTTTGAAGGCTTGCGATCAGGAGACATGTGCTGTCCAATTCTTCCCACACATGCCACTTCTTAGCTGGCCTATCACCGCGGGCCTGTGCAGTGTGGTCTGTTTGCGGCCAATAATCATATCACCATTGTAATGAGTGGCAAATCCTATGTAATTTACACATTAAAAGGAGGCTGAGATGCATGGAAAAACCCAGCCCCCATTTGTCTAATGAAATTAAAGCTCTTAGCCAAATACTGGTGCTGAAAAGAGATGTTTGGGAAGGGCTCTCCCGCCCCTGCCTCTGAAGAAGAGGGTGAGTGTTCTTTATTCATGATCCCGCCTCTACCTAAATCACTCCCACAATGGGACCTCTAAACCAAGGGGCCCTGTCTGGAAGCATGATTTACGCATAGCTGAGGCCAGGCAGGGCTTACAAAGGCATTATGACTAGTTATTTTCAATGACAATTGAAGGGAAAAATAAAGCAGCAAAGATGCTCTGCGATTTGGCAGGCAAAGCACTAAACTGCCCCCTGCCTACCCCACCAAATGACATGAAAGAAGGGTTTGAGCCATACCTGATAAAGCAATTGTTCCAAGATATTTTTCATATTCGGCAGTAACTGGACATTATCATGAAACAAATGTGAATGACACAGCACTGGGAGCAACCACGCTGAGCTTAAGCTCTGGAATGAACCGTTGGTCCCGTGATAAGGCAAGAAGAGGTGACTGGCTCTTGCCTTCGATGTCTGTCCAAATCCTTACGAGCTCCCTTGGCTTCGAAACTGCCTTAAGTCATATTGAAGACAGATAAAACAAAACAAGCCAAATACAATTGGATTTAAGTCCGAAAGTCAAGAATCTATCACCATGAAGCTAGTTAGTATGTAAGATGCTCTTGTTTGACCCATGAATGGTAAATACATAGACATACTGTGAAGTAGTGGGGTCTAAGAGTGGAGGTGTGAAGGTAATAATTGGTGTAGAGGAACAGCCAGAGTATTTAAAATCAAAAACGACTAATAGGCTTTAGCCCTGGCTTAAACAACTACTCAAAGGCAAACGCATTGGAAAACAAGAATGAAGTACGTGCACGCACACGCACACCCACACCCCTGAACCAGAACAAAAGGGTGTGTTGAAAAGTATCTTTCTCCATTCTCCTAACCCTGTATACAACTTTACATAGTCCAGACCCTGTCTGATTCCAGCCTCATTTCCTACCACTCTCCGTCACTCACTATTTATTGTCTGGCCGCATCTTTCTTTCTCTTCCTCAATCACATCAAATCCATGTCTGTTTTGAGGCGTTCCCTGCCTGTAACATCCTCATCGTCCCCAAGATCCTCACACAGCTAGCTCTTTGTCATCCAGGAGATTCTTGTGGGTTCTAAGCACATCAGATCAAACATATTAAAAGATATTCACATTGCACACAGTAAGTAGAATTTATCCACAACGATAACAGTTGGGTTGCAGTCGATTAGTTACATCTGACATTTTGTATGCATTTAAATGAACATCGTTGGTTTTCATTTTGCAGTATTGTTTTCATAAGTTAATGTCAATAACATTTTTCCAGGCCTGAGACACTTTCACAGGCCCCTGAAAAGCTCCTTGCCACAGGAGTATCATGCCTATCAAATCTAATAAATGAAATAGTCTTGCTCCCACCATTCCAGTTCTGGCTAAATGCATTGCAAAGTAACCACTCACTCCATGCTCAGTCACTCTTAACCATCACTTTTTTTTTTCTGTTTCCTGCTGCTAGTCATTCATTCATTCAGCTGTTACTTATTGAGTGCCTGCTGTATGCCAGGCACTGCTGTAGGCAATGGCGATGCAATGGTGAAAAAGACAGTCATTGGTGTCTCTGATCTTAAGTTTACATTCTAGCAGCAGGAGACAGATGGTAAACATTCAACACAGGATAGCTCCAGATCATGAAAAGTATAAAAAAGGAATGGTAGAGAATAACTGAGCATGGAGTCAGTAGTTATTTTGTAACGGGTAAGTACTAACGAAGTCCAGGTTTAGCACCAAAAGCTTTTAAGTATAAACTGGACATCTTGGTACAGACCATGGGACAAAATTCACCCATGACGCTCCAGATGAGAGAAATGTGTGACAGTATCACCAGCCCTGAGGAGGAAAAACAGGAGACTGACATGAAAGTCCACCATGGCGGTAATTTACATGCAACTCCCCTTATAGAAAGTGAGTTTAATCATCCTCAATAAATCATTCTGTCTTTATAAAATCCTCAGTTAAAGGACAGCTCCTGGAATTGTGATAGACAGATACACACCTGGGCCAAATGAGTCTTAGGAGACTGTGAGTTGCAATTCTGGAACCCCTATTTAAATGCAAGGCAGCTGGGAAGTATAGCTGTCCATGTTCTCAAGAAAGAAGAATTTGGAATGAAATTTGTCTCTGCCACAGTGCCCAAGATCAAATAGCAAATAAAATGAACGTGTTAAGATTTGGCTTAAATTTGATACCAAGCCCAGTATTCATTCCATGATTCTCTGTAAGCTAGAAGGTAAGGTTTAAATTTTTTTTGTTCGTATTTTTGAGGCCCAGAATATACCTTACATATGGAACATGCTCAAACAGTTCTTATGGTAGAAGAAATGAAGGAAGGGGGGGAGAGGGAGGGAAAGAAAAGAGAAAGGAAGGAAGAAAGTGAGGGAGGAAAGAAGAAAGGGAGAAAGGGAGGAAGTACAGAAGATCTTTATTGCTTCTTAACTTCAGGATTGATTGATTCTTTGATGGGCAGTAAAGAACAAATAGAACACAGTCATTAAATTCCATCCTCATAGTGTCTTTTGCCAGCATTAAAATGAAAAAGTTAAAGTGTAGAGACCAGTGTAGTCATTTGCTAGTTTTTAACCCCATATACATTGCAGGTATCTTCATCTGTGATGGAGAGAGAAGATTAAGAAAAGAAAGAAAGGATTTCATGGATCTCATGAAGAGGAAATAGAAACAAAAAAGAACCCATTTGGAATGTCAATTGGTGTATATGGTTTGCTTTTGAGTTCTTTGGCAGAGAGGTGATCTGTAAAGTAAATGCTACAGCGAAATTACTTAATAATAAGAGTACTGTATGTCTTCCTCTCCACACAATTTACAGTAGAATCAAAGGACTAGGCTTTCACACAGCCCTTACAGGAAAAGCAAGACACAGGCAAGCAGAAATAAATTAAGCATCTGTCATTGATTGTCATGGATAGCACCAGCTTATTGAGCTAATACTTTATTAGTGTGCTAGAGCTGGGTTGATGATGGTCTTTTTATTGTTTTTGTGGTAACTCTTTATTTTAAGTATCTTATCATTATGAATTCATTTAGTATTGATTGCAATAGCACTGATCATTAAGAATTAATTTGGCATTACCATGGATGTTATATGCACTTATATAAGAGTTCGGCTGTAATTCAAAATTAATTAATATGGTTAAGTGTTATTGCTTTTGCAATTTTGTAATTTCTATAATATATCTAAGGTATTTTTTTTTCCAGTAGGTGAATCCTAGCAGAAAATCTACCGAAGGCATTCTTCTTTGGAGGGCAATTTCATTTAGCAATAAATGGGAAATCTGCTCATGTCTTTAAAAAATTTTTCTTCATGTCTTAAAATACTTGGGATTCCAGTCCCAGAATTCAGGGCTATGGACAAACAAAAGACTCGAGTCCTGGAAAAATGACTGTATGTGCTGGGTGTTCTCACTTGCTTGGCACGGTGTGGGGAGAACAGTATCATTGAGAGTTTACCCCTCCTCAGTGACTCTGTCTCTCACCAAGGATGATTTGTCCCTGTCAGAGTGAAGGGCCCCCAGCAAAGAAACTCTATTTACTTATAATGATGTTGAATTACCAGCAGGTACAATTCAGGACACACTCCTAGCAAGTTGAGATTATTGATGTAGGTATTAGTGGGAACAGCAAGGTTCAGGATCTAAGTCACATGTCACATGTCTGTGGCCTTTAGTTAAAAACCACCTTGCCACCTTTGCTGCTACTGCCATTCACCCTGCATGGTGGCATGCGTAAAAGTACTGGGATGTCATGCTGTGGTTGGCTGACATGATGCATATCTGGATTAGGGCATCCAGGGATTCATCTTTCAACAACCCAACACATAGAATTGCTCTGACTGGATAAAGTATTAGAGTTTTAATGAAGAGGTGGATTCTGAGGGACAATCTGGAAGATGGGATTGCCCAAAAGCCAGATCCATATGAAACGACACTATGGTAGGTTCTAGAATACCAGGGACCATGGAAGTTACTGAGAAGAGGCAGAACACATGTAACTAACATAGAATCTCAAAAACAAAACAAAACAAAAACTTTTGACCAAGGACAGTGCAATATCAGCCAAAGAAGCAGGGCAGGGACCAGGTAGGGGGTGTCAGCCCAGGTGGAGTCAGGTGGTGCCAGGAAATTCACAGGGCCCTGGCAACAGCAGACAGCTCCCTGTTCCCAATGGTGATTCTTACCAAAAACAGAATTAGAATACAAAGTAGAAGGCCAGAAGCAAAAATTGATAGGCCTGCGCCTTCTAATGACTTAGCTAGTATCTAGGCACCCGGGAAGGCCCCTACTCAGAGCCCAGAGCCAGGTCAGCATAAACGGACAAGGCAAAATGGTCAGAAAGTCATAGCTGGGCTGCTTGTAACACCCCCCAGAGGAAGGGAACCTGTTGTGAAGTGAGCGGAGGATGCTGGATCTAGAGAGAACAGTCCCCAGAATGGTCATTTCTGGGCCATTACTATGAAATTTGTCTTGGGATTTCTAAATCTGCTTGACTGAAAGCATCTTTAGAAACACTAAAAATTGTTTTCCTCTTGTCAAATATATACCACTGGTAGCTTTTAAAGACACCCCTCAAGGAAACCCAGGCTCAGAGTGAAAGCCAATTTCAGACAGATAGACGGTGGCCATGCTAGCCACCATCCTCCCCGTAATGAGCCTCCCTGTGCAGACTGTCACTGTATAGGCTGTCACCGTGCAGACCCTCACTGCGGAAGACCCTCCTTTCTCCTAACTTCGGCTGTGCTTTCTCCTGGGAAGTCATAAAAACAGAAAGAAGCCTCACCTTTCACTGGCCAAACCCTTTTGTGACAGCTGCGTGGAAATGCTATTATCACCCCTGTCTTGAGCAGTAAATGCCAGAAGTTTTTCAGTTGGCTTAAACAATAAAGATCGTTCCACTCTTTCTGCCTGATACCAAAAAGGTATATAACAAGCCTATTCTTATCTTTCTAATTACTGATATTTTCTTTGTGACAGTTAATAACACACTGGAAATCAGATAACACAGCTGCAGAGCGGAAGCATCCGAAGTCCAGAATTCTCCTGTCCCACCAGATTGGTTAAAGGTTTCGGGAAAAGGGAAGACTGAAGCTAACTGAAGTAATGTGGATCTTAATACCGTAAATTAGCATGTCCCTTGATTATAGGTGTTTCAGGGTGTCTTCGGTGGCAACGAAGCTCTATTTGCTGATAAACACGAGTTCAACAACCCCGCAGCTCCCATTCGAGAATATGCCTTCAACCTTAGAAACAAGCACGGAGGTAAGAGCATATTCTTTATTTGTGCTATGGGAAGCAATAATGGAGATTTACAGTTCTCCGATACAGCGTAGGATTTCCCAGAATGCTGACTAACGGAACCACTTGGAGGTTTATTGATGTAGTGCCATATTGAAAACACGGGTTTATTAATAAATAGCTTCGTGAGAGTGGAAGAGGCGAAAGCAGGTAGCAAATGACAGGATGGCCCGAAAACCAGGAAGACCGTGTGAAAAAGCATGTGGCCTGAGAAATGAGACCCGGAGATTAACCGTAGGGATCAACTAAGAAACTTAAGCATTCAGGGAAAACATTCAAGTGGAATCTGGGCTGACAGAGCCTTTTCCTTCTGTTTGCAGGTTTTAATCACCACAAACGTCTCTCGGCCTTTCCCTCCCTTAGGAAGACAATATCAGAGTGCTGGCGCTGATCTCTTAAAATTATACTGGCAAAAGATAAACAAAGCTCAAGATATAGAAATATATTTTGCACCAAAAAAAAAAAAGAGAGAGAGAGAGAAAGAAAGAAAAAAGAAAAACACACTGAAACCAAATCCTCATATTTCTTGGCTCACAGTAGCAGGCTGACTAGTTACCCAAAATGAGCTCACTGCAAAATCACTGTTCTCACCACAGGCACAATTTACCAACTGGGTGCAGCAGACACCGGGCTGGCTCCTGAACTTCTCTCCTCCAATTAAGCAGCACAACCTGTTACCATTTTGCCAATGGACTTTATTTACTTAGGTTCTGCGTAACTTGCCAAGTGCTCACTCCGTGGAATTCCCAGCAAAGAGAAAGGAACAACTGGGGGAAATTTTTGCTAACATCCTTTCTTTTAACTTTCCATAGCAGAGGGGAACACATCAACGTGGAGCAGATGCGATGAGACCAAATGCTCTCTTCCTCGTGATGGCCGTTGGTTATACCTGTGGATAGGCAAGCTAATTCCGCCGCAAATGTGCAAGAGAGGGTAGTACTAACGTACAATGTGTGGTCCTGGAGGCTTTGTTCCCACCGTAATAGGGTGCTTCGTTTCACAAGACCTGGCACGCAGAGAAGAACACCGAAACAGACAGCCCCCATGCATTTTGGAACTGCGATCTCTCTCCGTACTGCTTAGAGAACGCCCTGGCTCTCAGCAATGTTGACATAAACATCCTGGAATTTCTTATTTGGTGTTGGAAAGTAATGATTCTTTCCACTTAATGTGCTCAGTGACTCTGCACCCTATTGTTTTCCGCCCATTTGAAAATGCCCGAGGATGTCATTATAACTACATGTATCAATATTAAACCTTTACAAACAGTTGACTAAATGAGCTGTTATTATCTTTGTTTCTGAAAATAGTGTACCTTTTTACTTCATTTATCAGTAACTAGGTGTAGTCGATTGCACTCCGGTATTGATCCCAATATCTATACCCGTCACAGACTACCTTTCCTCAAGGTCATTGCGAGGTCGGGTTATGATCAATATGAATTGACTGTCTGCAAATAAATTTATGTAGCTGACATAATTGCAAGTAATACCTTTTTCAAATTAAGGTGGACCATTTTACGAAGCATATGTGTTTGAAACAATAACGGTAACATCATCCAACTCTGCATAATGAACCAATCTCGCTAGAATTTACAAGTCCTCTTTGTGTAACTGAAAGCTGTGTAAGCTCCCCGATAACCATTTCTAAATAACACCTGCAGAGTTTCAAGCTTCGGGTTTAGTGTTGATGCTAATTATGTTTCCCAAGCAATAGTATGTTCCTATGTAGCCCCTACGTGCAATTTTATTTCCAATTTTCAAGTCTCACTTCTATCAATGCCATTTCAAAATTCAGGGTAGAACGTTCAGGCATCCTAATCAGAGGACCACGTTTGGGAAAAACCAACTTTCTTGAGGAGAAACAGCATTTTCAACACACAGCGGATTCCAGTGCCATCCTTCTCCCTACCGTGGGCCCCTCACAACTGAGGGGAGATCCTCTTGTGATCAGCCTGCTAGCCACTGGATGTCACTGACGCTTACACAAATGGAGCTTAAGGGGCATTTATCTGACTGTAAAAATCATGACTTCAGTAGAAAGCAGTTTAGCTAGAAACATTCCACTCAGGCAATTTCTAATTTCAGAAAAATAGGCTCATAAAGCTCACAAAGGCGATACCCAACTTCAAGCGTGATTAGTTTCAGTTGTTTGTTTCAGCTTTAACTGGGATATGAATAAACAGCAAGTTTTGGGGGTGCATTCCATTTTGACAGCAGCTGCCAGTCTGCTTTTAAAGGGACACTACCCAGTCAGGTCTGTGACATCCTGGAATGCTTATCAGCAAGTCC